TCTAGAATGATGTACAAATGAGCGTTCTTGCTCATTTTGCCTCCGAGAAATGAGCGAAAACGAGACGGAAAACATGGAATTTTGGCATAATCTTGCACCTAAGTGCGTGACATTAAAATTTCGCTTTCTGGGTCAAAACTGCTCGAATTTCCTCACTCACTTTGTTACGACTGAAACGACTTTTCAATTCTCTATCCAACGATGCCAAAACGAATTCTGTGGCTCGAATGGTTCTTGAGAAACCTCGAAACAAGCAGCGTCATGTTCAAGTGGATTTTGCAACTCAAAAAAAAACAGTTGGTTAAAAACATCGATTTTTAGACCAATATTTACGAAGCTGACAAAATCAGGGATTTGTGAAACTTTTATGAAACTCTCAGCATCTTTTACACTAGTTATCTTCTAAGCATGGTAAAATTTTCAGATCGCTTCATGCCTTGTTAGGAAGGTGCGAATTTTTGATGGAGCCAGCGCTGCTGTGTAAAAACCTTCAATGGCCCAAATTAACTAAGCTGGAAAAATCAGACTTTCGCGGAATGTTCATGAGACTTTCAGCATCTTTAGAGCCAATTCTCTTCTAAGCATGATGAAGATTTCAGATTGTTTCGAGTTTCAGAGTCGGAAGATAGCGTTATTGCACTATACTGCACTTTTTAAATTACTTTTGTCTTTATCCAAGCACAAATTAATGCACGGAAATTGTTCGGAACGGAAAAGATTGCTCAATAAGAGAAGAAACTAACACTTACTGGTTAACTGGTTAAGAGTAAATAAGGATTCTTACTAAAACTAAAAAGTTAAATTGAGAACCCAAACACTTGGTAAAAATTGCATGCGCAACGCAACTGAGACGAAACTTATCGATAGCACGAAACTAACGCTACTTTTACTTACTTTGAGCCATCGAAACCGCTTATTTGCACAAAATTTGCCACAAATTATTAAATTGTACCGCTACGACCAAATAACTGCCAGCAAATGACAATGTTTGACACTTTTTGACTTTTGGGAATGCTCAAGTGTGTTGATTTCGTCGTAGTTGCTTGGCAACCATCGGGCGCCAAATTTAAATTTTAACAAAATCCACAATCAGTGTTATCTTTATTAAAAAAGAAACACAAATGAGTTTCTCAAATGATATTAAATCACCCGAACTTAGAGACTAGACAACATCAGGCACCTGGCTACTTGAAAATAGTTTCAATTTTCCCTTGATCCGACTTTCCATTCCGATTCAAGTCGGAAATATCCTCTAAACGTGTTTCCGATTGTTTGGCTTTTTGCAACTTGTTGGCCAGTGGCGGCACAAACAGGTTGGGATCGTATCGTTCATTCTGCACTGGCGTCCGTTTAATTTTCCGAATAATCCAACTCAGCAGATATCCGAGAATGAAAGTGATCAGAAATCCGGCCACTCCATTGTATAAGTAAGATACTCTGTGAATCCATAGGTAGTTGCTGCAAGCAAACGATCATTATAAGTACATATTTTCCTGACTGTGTTTCAATTTCAAATCAAAATTAATTCCTGGGTTTCAGTCATTCATTGTCTCTATTTATCAATTAAAATACGTTTCGGTGTATTTTCCACCATCATCAGTTTTT